GGCGGAGTCCCTGGTCGTCCAAGCCGCGTGCGTACTCGTCGAGGGCTGCTGCTCAGCTAGGCCCGGTGGCCCTTGCCAAGCTGTCCGAGGTGCACGAGCGGCGCGGGCGCTGGCGGCGGGGCGCAGGCGCCGGGGAAGAGAGCGCGCCCTCGTTTGCGGCGCCAGGGGCAGTCGCGCGCGAGGCGCGAGGGGTTTCTCCGACCCGCACTCGCGGCAGTCGAGACGCATCCCGCCACGGCCCGCGGGATTGCCTTGTCGGCCCAGACCCGCGCCGCTGGTCCTGAATTCCCCTTTTTCCCCTTGACCTCTGCGAACGTCTCTCGGAAGTCATTATCGGACAAGTCGGCCAGGATGGCGCGGTAGCCAGTGCCGCGGCCCTTGCCTTTCCTCGATGACCCTCTGGGCGCGGCGCGGGGGCTGGCGGCCATTGAAGCGTCGCCAGCGTGCTTCGGCGCACGCGTGAGCCCAGAACTGGCGCGCGCCACGCTGTTCCATGAGCACGTCGCGCAGGTCGGGGTCGTCGGCAGCTTTGTCTCCTTCGCCGAATGAGCTGATGGCGTCGGCGTCGGTGCCTGAGTCGATGCCTGCCGCTGGGAGTGCCTCCTGCGCTGGCGGTGCTGGCGCGGGTGGGATCGGTGCCGCTCCCAGCGCAGATGGGCCCCGGCAGTCCCGGCCCGATCCGGCTGCAGTGTCATAGACACTCTAAGCCTGATCTTGCGTGGGCGCACTCGCGCGGGAAGACTGCCGTCGGGCTGGCTTGGCTGGGCCGCTGAGGCAAGGTTGCCAAGTGAATTCTCGACCATGTGCCCGCGGCGTCGCAGCTGCCCCGTCACGCGCGCGAGCTGAGCTGCGTCGGTCGGGCAGGCCATTCCAAGATCATGGTCAGCCGCCCGTTGGACACGCCAACCGCGCGCGAGAGGAGGTAGCCGAGGTCCTCTTAGCAGATCGTCAGTTGACCGGCGCTTGTTGTGCGCGGCTGCGGAGGACGTCGAAGAGCACGAGGAGGTCGTCGATGCCCTTCAGAGGCGGCCGGTTAAACTTCATGAGCGATGCGACTGCCGAGGCGCGCCCCCCCTCGCCCAGCTGGCCACGTCGCTCGGCCAAGCTGCACATCAGGAAGGTCATGGGCGGCGCTGGATCGTCGTTGATGTGACATCCCTGGATCAAGGCGGCTGGCGGCCATCCGTCCGCGAACTCACGCGCCCTGCCAGTGAGCCGCGACGAGACGCAGGCCGCCTGGTGGAACAAGTCGAGGTCCGACTTCTCCACTGACCAGATCATCACCTCCCGCGCCCGTCGTCTGAAAGCGACCCGAGATTGCCGCTCGGGCCCAAAGAGCGCGGAAGCGTCGCGCGTCGCCGCCGGCGCCCTCGCAGGTTAGGCGGCCGGCTGCGGCAAGCATGCCCACTCCGACGGCCTTCCATCCAGGGTGGAGGCCCCTCTATAGGTCCAGCAGACGCTGGGCTGGAGGCTGGGGGGGCGACGGCGGTGCTCTGGCCATGAGCCTCGGAGCCGTCGTGCGTTCCTTCCCAAGATGCAATCCTCCTCATCAGCGCATTGGGCGCAATCATCCGTCGAGTCGTCGGGGCGTCCGCCGCGCTCTGGACATCTCGAATGCCCTTCGAACGTCGCGTCGTCGCTGTCCTGATTGCCAGCAACTGCGCGATCGCCAGGAGGCGCGCGCATCGGGATCGCGTCGTGCCAGACTGAAGGGGCTGAGCGGGTGCGACGATCTATCGTGCCCGAAGAGATCGAAAACAGACTCCCAGAACTGTTTCGCTGCCCCCGGAGAAAGCTGACAACGTTGTCGCCATGCCCTCAACGCACGTCCTGGCTTTCTGCTGCACTTCTCGGGGCTCTCGTGAAATAGTTGCGAGGAACTCGGGGCCCTTGGCCGCAGCCACTGATGTGAATGCCGCATCGACCAACTGTTCATTCTTCTACGCGGCTGAATCCCCTTCCGCGGCTATTTCCGACGACGGAGGAAACGTGGCCTTAGGATCCACGAGCGGCTCATCCATCGTCTGGGTACGCCCCAGTTGAGAGACGGGCGCGGGCGGGGCGCCGTCATCGTAGATCTCGAGGTCGTACTTGTTCATGGTGTGGTCAAACGTGTTGAACTGGACATTGCCCTTCTTGTCCTGGCCGCGGCCAAACGAGTCCCCATTCGCGAGGGTGGGGGAGAGCGCCGCGCAGACGATCCAGCGCGCCGGTGGCCAGCTGGAAACCGAGGTTGTAGGAGGCGTGGCCACCGACGCCGGGCACGGCGAGGGCGGCGCCGAGAGGCACAGTCATCGGCCTGACCTAAGGAACCATACACGAGGAACGAAGTCACCTTTTCCCAAATAAGTTACGAAGTCCGAAGGAATGGCCGAGCCCCTTCCTAGCGGCGTTCCGCCGCGATTTGCTTGTGTGATTCGACCCCCGCCCCTTCTGCCACACTACCTAAGAACGCCCGCTCCCCCCTCCCCCGCCGCTCCAACATCGCACGCAGAAGCGCCGCCTGCGAACGACGCGTTAGGAGCGCCAGGGACTCGGACTAGGAACGGGGCCTCTCTCCATTCGGTTCCGCGCGTGAGCCCCCGCTCGCACCGCGCGCGGAAGGCCGGGGGCTCGCGCGGGGGACTGGGCCTGAAGATGACCACTTTTCGATTCGGTTCCGCGCGCGAGCTCCAACTCGCACTGCGCCAGGAACGCCAGGGGCTCGCGTGGGGGACCGGACCTTAACTTAACCACTTTCCAATTCGGTTACGCACGCGAACCCCAACTCGCACCGCGCAAGGAACGCCGAGGGGATCGCCGAGGGGCTCGCACTCGCGCGCGAGAGATGAACTGGACCTTAAGGCCACCACCGTTGCATTATGTCGAGCCAGTGAGCTCCGAACTGAGCGGCCTAAGGAACTGGAGGTGCTCCAGCGAGGAACTGGACCTCGATGCCCCTACCTATACGACCAGGCGAGAAGGAGGTTGTGTGGGGGGAAAGAGGGGGGAACCAACGTCAGACTCAATCGGTCTCACTATCGATCTCACTCAAAAGAAAACCACGGGACACCACGGGACACTTGTCAATCTCACTATCGATCTCACTCAACGGGACACCACGGGCCACCACGGGACACCGCGGAACACCTCTCGATCTCACTATCGGTCTCACTATCGATCTCACTATCAATCTCACCCAATGGGACATCATAAGACACCACGAGACACCACATCGATCTCACTATCGATCTCACTATCGATCTCACTCAACGGGACACCACGGGACACAACGGGACACCTGTCGATCTCAGCATCGATCTCACTATCGATCTCACTTTTTGGGACACCACGGGACACCATGGGACACCTCGGGCACCACATCGATCTCAGTATCGATACCACTATCGGTCTCACTATCGATCTCACTCAACGGGACACCACGGGACACCACGGGACACCTGTCGATCTCACTATCTATCTCACCGTCGATCTCATTTTTTGGGACACCACGGGACACCTCGGGGCACCACATCGATCTCAGTATCGATCTCAGTCTCGATCTCAATATCGATCTCACTATCGATCTCACTATCGATCTCACTCAACGGGACACCACGGGACACCGGCGGGACACCGGCGGGACACCGCGCGGGACACCGCGCGGCACTGGCCGCTGGAGGAGAAACATTTGGTCCGGCCGCGGCCCAGCCACAGGAGGATTTCGGGACACCAGCGGGACACTGGCGGGACACCGCGCGGCACCGGCCGCCGGAGGAGTTACATTTGGTCCGGCCGCGGCCCAGCCACAGGAGGATTTCCTCTCGCCCGCCCACGCAGCTTCGCCTCGCCCGCACGCACGCACGGCACGCACGATACGAACCCGAAATCGATTTCCTGGTAGGGGGGGTCTCCGTTTCACGTCGGACTCACCCCCCAACCTCCGACATTGGCACGCGGATAAGGGCGAAAGCTCCAATGCGCGCCCCGCAAGGAACGGGCGGGCCCGAGAGAGGCACCAGGCTTTTGCGTGACCGCCGTCGCACTACGTCGAGCAAGCGCAAGGAACCGAGACCAGCCACCCTGATCGACAAAACGAACCTGTGCGTCCAAAATCTGAAGGGACACCAGAGGGGGCTCGCCGCCAACAAGGTAGCGGAACGCATGCAAACCTAAGGAACGACCGAACCCCTTTTGAAAAGAGTAAATGCTCCTTATTCAAGCCGCTCGCTGTAATGGAAGGAAGCCGAAGCTCCGCTACCATTGAGACATGGGATGTCAGACGAAATGCATGGCTTTTCCTTGCGAGCAGATGTGTCAAACGGATCACAGCGGGTGTCAGACGAGCACGTAAGCTGGCCAGCGTACTCAGGGCCAAAGCGGCGGCGGGAAAAAGGAGACAAGTGAGATAGAAGGCCAGGGCAAGATTACAAGGCTACCGTTCGAGTGAAGGACGGAGGAGGAGAGCCCCAGAGGAGGAGGAGAAGGAAGAGGAGGAGGAGGGGGAGGAGGAAAAGGAAGCGGAGGAGGAGGAGGGGAGGAGGAGGAGGAGGAGGAGAGGAGGAGGGATGGGTGAATGAGGAGGAGGAGGGGGAAGGAGGAGGAGGAGGAGGGAGGAGGAGGGAGGAGGAGGAGCAGGAGGAGGAGGAGGTGAAAACTGACACACCGTGGGGCCCGAGAGGAGGAGGAGGAGGCGGAGGAGGAGGAGACCGGGGAGGAGGAAAGGATGTGTGAACGATGAGGAGGTGAAAACTGACACACCGTGGGGCCCGAGAGAAGGCCGAGGAGGAGGAGGAACGGATGGGTGCATGAGGGTGAAGAGGTGACAACTGACACACCTTAGGACCCGAGAGAGAAGGGAGGAGGAGGAGGAGGAGGAGGAAGAGGAGGAGGAGGAGGAGGAGGAGGAGGAGGAGGAGGAGGAGGAGGAGGAGGAGGAAAGGATGGATGGGTGCATGAGGGTGAAGAGGTGACAACTGACACACCTTAGGGCCCGAGAGAGAAGGCCGAGGAGGAGGAGCAGGAGGAGGACGATGAGGAGGAGGAGGAGGTGCAGGCCAAACCTTTGAGCGAGGCCCACGCCAGGTCGGAAACCTCCGCGGTGCCAGTGGCTAAAGAGACGAGTATCAGAGGCATGGAATGGGCACCAACAATATAAGGAAAAAAAACGAAACCAATGTTGGCGGTGTGCCTCCACCGAGGAATGGTGATCCCGATCTCGGTGATGGTGGTACTGTTCGGGCTTCCTATAGGTGCCCGAGAAACTACCATCAACACAAAAATCTAGGATCAGATCTTCCTTTCTCGTGGAGACAAGCTACTGTGTTGGCGCTGGGGGAAAAACAAAGACCTAAGCATGACAGATCGGAAGCCCGCGCGGATTTCTCGGATCGGCGCTGACCGCCCCCCTCCGGCGCCGCCCCTGGCACGCTTCGCGCGCCAAGGAGGGGGGGAGGTCCAGCGCCGATCCGAGAAATCCGCGCGGACCTTGGAATCGTTATGTTTATGCCATTGTTTGTTCCCCAACACCAACACAGAGGATTGCCTCCACCGGTGAAGATTTGATCCTAGATCTTGGTGTTGGTGGTCGTATTTCGGTCACCTATGGAAAGCCCGAACCGTACCACCATCACCGAGATCGGGATCGCTTTTCCTCGGTGGAGGCACAGGGCTGACATTTTAGGTGTCAACCTTCGGTGGCAAGTCATGGGAGCCTCCCATACCATCTTGCTGGCTCTTGCGGATCGACGCCGATCGACGCTAAACGACGCTAACTCATCGACTACAAAGCGCTAGCCGACATCAGCGCACGATCAAGACAGAACTGCGAGGGTACACAAGGCTCCCATGATTTGCTACCGAATGTCAGCCTCTAGTTGGCGGCGAGCACAAGGGGGTAGGGGGAGGTGGAAGGCTTCTTAGAAGGAGGCCGATTCTTAGAAGGCGCCGGTCTTACATCTATAGACAAGGCCCGCGCCTTCGAAGAAGCAAGGGTCCTTCAAAGAAGCGCTCCCTCCTCCCCCCACTCCTCCTGCGCGTGGCTTACAAATGTCAAACTCTAGGCGTCCGAACGGGAGGGACCAGGGCCCGGCCCCCTCCATCGAGACGCGAGCACGGCGCCCGCGTGAAGCGGGCGCGGCGGGCGCGAAAACAGCGGCGCCCCGTCCTCCCGGAATCCGGGCGCGACGCGGCGCGGTGGAGGTGCTCCTGCCACAGGCCTCCGCCTCCCCCTCCTCCTCTTCTTCCTCCTCCTCCTCCTCCTCCTCCTCCTCCACCTCCTCCTCCTCGACTGAGCCCTCGAGGTCCTTGACCGACCGACCGGCCGACCGACCTCCTCCTCCTTCTCCTCCTCTCTTCCTCCTCCTCCTCCTCCTCCACCTCCACCTCGATTTCCACCTTCTCCTCCTCGTCCTCCTCCTCCTTATCTTTCTCACCCTCCTCCTCACGCCTCTGTCTCATCCCCGGCGTCCTCTTCTACTGACCGCGCTGAGGTCGGGAACCTCGAAAATTCCGGGCAGCACCACTCCATGCAAAAAGCGCAGGTCGCCTCACCAGCAAACCATCTGGGCATTGCTTACTGGGGGGGCGATGAATGGGTGGGGGGAAAGCGCACATTTCGCACCTCTTTCGGGCCCCAGGGGGGTCTCTCAGGGCCCCAAAGGTGCACCTTTCTTCAGACACCAATTTGGCGGGTTCTAAACAATCCTGAACCAAAACACCTGGTCATCTCTTGGGAGACAGGCTTTTGCTTTCGCCGCCGCCAGCCTTCCGCCGGCGGAGGCGGCCTCGTTGTACTTCTGCCGGCCTTCCGCCGAGAAAGAGCTACATATCAACTTTTTCGATCCTCAAAGGCGAGGCCCTTTCTTGAATGCCGCATTACCCAAGCCCCCGACATCATGATTTTTTCGTAACGTCGACCCCAAAAAATCTCGGCCCATTCCCCGGAACCGGGTTTTCATCCTGACTCGTTTTTTGACAGTCCGGGGGCCTGGTAAGAGCACCCAAATGCCGAAAATAGCGTGATACCGGAGAAACAAGCCAATCAAAGGCTTTTTTGGCGCTACAGGGCTATGGGGCTAATGGGCTATAAGGCGATGGGGCTATGGGGTTATAGCGCTATGGGGCTTTAGGGCTATAGGGCTATGGGGCTATAGGGCTACTGGGTTATAGGGCTATAAGGCTATAGGGCTATAGGGCTGTAGGGCTGTAGAGCTATAGGGCTCTAGGGCTCTAGGGCGATAGGGGGCTATAGGGCTATGGGGCTATAGGAGTATAAAACACCCAGGCACCTGGGCACCCGGGCGGGCCGCGGAGATCGGTGGCAAACCTCACCTGACCATATGAATCCGCTAGGACCCTCTGCAGAGGCAAGCTCTGATTGATGAAAAACGCCTTCCGTCGTGATGTTTCCATAACTCGACGGGGTCTGGGCACCGCCACCCTCACCCATGACGCAGCGCCCCACCCATCAACGGCCCCACGCGACGCCCGCGCGCCGCGCGGGGTCCCCGCGCCGCGGGCTGGCAGGCAGCACTCGGCGAGCGGAACGGCATCCAGCCAGATCGACCCCGACCGCGCCGCGCCGCCGCACCACGGCAGCAGACATGCACCACTTTCTTGGCGTCGGCGTCTCGAAGACGGGACCTCGAGAGACTGGAGGAACAAAAATCCTCCTCCTCCTCCTTCTCCTCCTCCTTTTCCTCCTCCCCATCCTCCTCCCCCATTTTCTCCTCATCCTACTTCTTTCTCCTCCTTTTTCTCCTCCTCATCCCGTTCTTCCTCCTCCTCCTCCTCCTCGCGAACAGGGTCGGCGGCACCGGCCGTAAGGACTTCGCAATACACCACTCCAAGCATCGGCGGCCTGAAGACGGGGCCCTAAGGGATTCGAGGAAGAAGCAACGGCAGAAACGTTGGCGCTGAGCATTCTCTTGGACAGCCCCTGGCGCGCGGAGCCCGCCTGGGAGGGGGGCCCATCGCAGATCTAAGAAATCCGCGCGGAACTCCCAGTTTATATTGACGCCGTTTTTTGTTCGCCTCTTGGCATCGACGGCTCGAAGATGGAGCCCCGAGGGATCCCAAACCCAACCTTCACTATTTGAGGCCGCGCGCCAGTAGGCAAAACGAAGCCAGAACTGGTACAACATCGATCGTGACAAATCGGGGATCTCATCCGGCGGTTCTGGAGAATGTATCGGGTGCCGCGGCTGTTCCAGGAACGATCTATCCTGGTCCTGGCCCGCCCGACTTGGGCCCCATCACTAGAACGAAAGACAACGTAAACATCATCCTTCGAAGGCCCGCGCGGATGTCTTGGATCGGCGCTGGACCCCCCTCCATGGCGCGCGGAGCGCGCCAGGCACGCTGCAGCCGCCGACAGGGGTCCGAGCGCAGATCCAAGAGATCCGCGCGTAACTCCCACAACTAATGTCTATACCGTCTTAGAATCACTCGGGGCCCCATTTTTGAGCCGCGGTGCGACAAACCTGGCACTGTCGCGTCCCAACTCCGTGAACGCTCTTCAAGAAACGCCCCTCAGGGCTCACCAAACACCAGGCCCGACCAGCCTGGACTGGCGATGTCGACACTTCTCAGACCGACCGGCCTGGACCGGCCCGGACCGGGCCGCAACGCCGGAGATCGGAGCGGACCGACCCGCCTGGGAAGCGGCTTGGCCAGGGCCCCGTCTCTGAGCCGCGGCCCCAGACCCCCGACGGTATGATTTTTCATGACGTGGACCCCCAGCGATCTGGACCCATTCCCCAGGAGCAGTTTTTCGTCCCGAGGCGTCTCTTTATAGTCCCGAGGGCCAGTACAGGGCCCCCAGAGGCCGAAACTAGCGAGAAGCCTCCCGTCCTGATTTTTGCATGACCCGAGGGGGTCTGGCCGCAGTGCCCCAGCCGCGGCAGTAGACTGCAAGTCTCCAGCCAAGTGCTCGGCCGTGCGCGTCAGCGGCTCCGGCGGTGGCGCCGCGCGGCTTCTGGCGGCACACCGCTGGCTGGCCCCCTCCGTCGGAGCGGCCCGCCTTTGCAGGGTGCACCTCTTGAGAGACGGCCAGCAAAGTGTACTCTACAAAGTGTGCTGTCTTCCAAAGGAATAAAAGGATTACACGTGTTCAACCATGGACCCCTGGCTACTCATCACTCCTGGGCCGTCTTCGGCGATCTTCGGACGGTCTTCGGCGGTCTTCTGACGGTCTTCGCGGTTTCCAGTGGAACTCGGCGCGAGGACCGGATCGTTGCGTTCAACAAGCGGCCCATGATCTAACACCAAGAAGCGGCATCAACATAAACTCTCGAAGGTCAGCGCGGATTTCTTCGATCGGCGCCAGGCCCCACTCCCTGGCACGCGGAGCGCGCCAGAGGCGGCGGCGCCACCAGGGGGCCCAGCGCCGATCCAAGAAATCCGCGCGGAGCTCCCACAGTTTATCTATATGCAGTTTCTGATTCTTCAAAGTACCCCACAAGGTGTATTTTACAAACTGCACCCAGGCTCTGGCCGCGCGTCGCCGCGCAGGATAGCAGTGGATGCAGATGCCAGCCGCCTGCTAGGCGCTGGCCAGACCACCACGCATTCGAACTCGTGGATGGCGCAATGAGGGACAATGGACAATCAAGGTCTAGCATCCGACGGGACGGACACTAGCCAGTAGAACCGAGGAGGCCATGCCTCATAGAGGGGCAGCGCAGAAGCGACCCGCAACTCCCCCCTCAAAAGCGCACACGGGTGCGAGCGAACCGCCCCGCCACCTCAGCTAGAGCAGCTCCGACACTCGGCGCCGAACCTACCCTATACGAGACGGTGGGCGCGGCTCGCGTCCAGCAAGGACCTCGTCCCTGAACCGAGCCTGGTTCGAGGGGCAGCTCCTTCACGACGATGACGACTACTTTTCTTCGTTTGGTACTCCCTTCTCTTCTCAATCGTGCTCGCGGTTCTTGTTGACCAAAGCGGGGGGCCTAGGGCACCTCCCCTGCGCTCCGCACTATGACGATGACGATGACGATGATGCCGACGATGACGATGATGACAACGATGACAATGATGACGATGATGATGATGCCGACGATGACGATGACGATGAGGATGACGATGTTGATGCTGATGTTGATGACGATGATGTTGAGGATGATAATGATGATGATGATGATGCTGATGCTGATGCTGATGATGATGATGATGATGATGATGATGATGATGATGATGATGGTGATGGTGATGATCCTGATGATGGTGATGATGAGGATGATGATGATGAGGATGCTGATGATGACGATGCTGGTGCTAGTGCTGGTGCTGATGCTGATGATGATGCTGATGATGATGATGCTGATGTTGCTGCTGATGCTGATGATCATCATCATGATGACGACGAAGATGATGATGACGACGATACGGATGATGATTATGACGACGACGACGGCGACGATGACGACGATGCGGAGAGCGAGCAGTGCCTGGGACAGGCGGCTTTCCGCCCGTCCCGCCCCGCCTTATCTTCTGCTGATCGCGCCGCCTGCCCGCCCTCTGCAGCGAGCTGCGGGGCGACGTCCAGGGCGGACCAGCTCAAGGGGGAAACATCGGGCCTGTCGGGTTCTCAACTGTCCTAGTTTTCGACGCTCCAAGACCACCCCAAGACCGCCCAAAGACGGCCACAGAGGCCACCAAGAGGGCCCCAAGACGACGCCCAAAACGGCCCAAGAGGGCCCCAAGAGGGGGAACACTAACCGAAAATCCCAGCCTTCCGCCCCAAGAGGCGCCCAGGAGGCCCCAAGAAGCCCCCAAGAGGGGCCCATAACAGCCCCCTCAGAAGCATCAAAACTGCCTCCAGGAGGCCCCCGAGAGGCCTCGACGAGATCCCAACGACCACTCAAGAGGCCTCAGACCCACAACGCAAGCACGGTGGCGTGTTGGGCCGTAGGCCATTAGATAGCACAAACCATCATTCGCTGGCCCCAAAGCCAAAAGCTGGCTCGTCGTCGTCGTCGTCGCCGTCGCCCGAAAAGCCACTGGAGAACCGAATTTGGACCCGAAAACCCTGGGGCAAGGATGGGGGGGAACCAGCTGAAAGAGGGAAACATCGAACTTGAATCGGCGATGCATCGCCGATAGATCGGCGACAGGCACCCGATAGAGAGCCCGCGCGTTCCTGGGCGGGATGGGCCATCGGGCCCCCATCCATTGGCGATGACTGGGCGATTGGGGGGTCGATGCGTTCCCCCTGAGCCTATCCTCCCTTGACTTTGCCCCTTCGTTCTCGGCTCCCAGGTGGCCATACGAAACGATGCGGGCACCCCCGGGAACACTCTCGGCGAGACGCAGCTGCTGCAGAGCATCCCGGGGCTGGAACAACAGCCGAGAACCGACGAAAACGTCCGAAAGCCTCGAACCTCCAACCCGAAACGTTCTCCCTTGAGCCAAATCCATGCCTGCACCCCTCCTGGGGTACCATTCTGACCAGGATCTCGGGGCGGATCCAGCCGTGGCCACGAGGGCGCCCCAGGAAGATTCAAAAACCCTGAGGAAGCTCGAACCTCAAACGGAGCCTATCCCCTCCGGGGCTGGAAAGCCGCCGAGAACCGACGAACCGAGAAGCTCGAACCCGAAACGTCCCCCCCCCCCCCCCCCCCCCCCCCCGAGCCTCCCCTAACGTTGCCCTGGAAAACGGCCGTGAACCGACGAAAGCAACCGAGAAAGCTCGAACCTCAAACGTGGAGCATACCCCCTCCAGAGCGCCTCCCCCCCCTGAGCCTGCGCCTGCCCCGCCCGGAGCGTCGGGGGCGTCCAGGAGGGGGGGTGCGTCCGAGAGTGACTACCTCCCGGACCACCCCAAGCTAACCCGAAGACCGAAGACCCGAATTTCGGACTGGGGAGGCACGGGCTCCACACGCCATGCGTTTCTTCAGTGTTCCCCGACGCCTTCCCCCCCTCCTGGGAATGGAGGATAAATTGGGGCCTTCGGGTTGGGTTGGAGTGGTTTCGCGGGTGGTGAGCGAGGGGGGGGGCGCAAATCATGGCCTGAGGCATTTGCGCGGCCCAGGGGGGGGAGACCCAGGGAGCGGGTGCGTCCGAGGGGGGGGGGGCGCAAATCTGCTGACCCTTCGGCGAATGCGAGAAGCTTTGCCCTCGTCGTCGTCGTCGTCGGCGGCGGCGGCGGCGGCCCAGGTCACGTGAATTGTTTGGTTTCGTGCGTTTTTTTCTGTGTGTATGTGTGTTGTGTGTTGTGTGTTGTGTGTTGTGTGTTGTGTGTTGTGTGTTGTGTGGTGTGTGTGTGGGTGGGGGCTTGTCAAGATACTCTAAGACGGCCCAGACTGTCCCCGGCCACCGAACGTCGCGCGTCGCGTCCAGCTAGGCGCGACGCACGGTGAACTTCGCGCCCTCGCGCCGCCACCTGGGCGCGCCTCTCCAACCCAAGCCGCGGCGCGCGAGGCGCGGGCATCTTCGCGCCCCCGCGGGTGACCCAGGGAACGCCAACCAGGACCCGTGAGGGGCTCCGCGGACAGTGCACGGGCAATGGGCGGCCGAGCGATGGCGCGCAGGTGGGGAAACGAACAATGACTCAACCACAATAACTTGGAGGAGCGCGCGGACCTCAGAATTTGATGTTCATGTCATTGTTTGTTCCCAGAGTAGGGGCACGCGGGGGCGTAGGGGCTGCTGGGGGAGGGCGCATGAAACTCTGCGAACACTCGGCCTTGTGGGTGTTCGACCGTGGACCGCTTCTGCGCGAAGCAGCCACGGCCGGAGGTGCCCTTTCCCCTCTCGGGAGAGGGGAGGCAGGGGGGGGAATGAAAAGAGGGAGGGCGGAGGCTGCCGGGGAGGAAGGAGGGCCCCCTTCTCACATCCAGGCCTCCCGGGCAGGGTCCGAGCAGCTGGGGTCCGAGGACCGCGCCGCATCGCCGATGCATGGGGGATGCGGCTCGATGCGGAGCCCGATTTTCTCCAAGTGTCGCCGATGCATCGGCGATGTGACGCCATCCTCCGACCCCATCCTCTCCGAACCCATCCGGGAGGCCTGGAACAGTGCACTTACGGCTTTACCATCTCATTCGAACAGGGAAAGTGGTGGCCTGGGGGGGAGCCACAGAGGCGGAAGTGGCCAAGTCCGTGGATGCTGGCAGGGGCTAGAACGAGCTGGAAACGGGTGGGAGACACTGGCCAGGCAGCAAAAAGTGTGGGGCAACTTGCCAGGGCTGGAGAAGAGGAAAGGTTGGCATTGTCTACTTCGTTCAGCTTCCCAGTGAAGCGTCGCCATCTCGTTGGAGCATCGGTGCGAATGGCTTGGAGGCCCAAGCCAAGGCCGAATACGCAATCACTTGGCCCAGCTGCTCGATCGCCTATCTGATTGGATGATCACGCTGGCATCATGGGCGTAGAGTAGCGTATGTTATGTATGTTGTATGCTGCCTGCTGGCCCTGAGCCCCAGGCCTGTGTCGTTGACCTCTCGAGGTGCGGCAGTCGGAGCGTCAGGGTACCAGAGCACGGCGAGCTTCGCAATGTCCAACGCACTATAAAAACGGCCGCCCGCTCAGTGTGCGAGGAGGCGGCGCGTGACTGCAGCCAGAGGCCCGTGGCCTCTCGTCGCTGGACTGAAATACCCGCCAAAGGTCGGGACTTCTGAAAAGGTGCACTCTCGTCCCGTGCGAAAAGCGGCAACATCTACGCGGGCAACGACGGGCCACATTTGGAGTGTACTCGTTCGAGGGCGGTCCGGAACGAGGAAAGCAACTTTGT